TTAAGGAAAAGTAAAGTGCGAGGAATTAATTACACGGCTTTGGGAGAGATATATAAATATTAAGAGAAAAAGAAATAAATATGCGAATTGAATAAGAATTAAAAACGAGGGCGTTGGACCCCTTTTGCAAAATTAAATTATTATGGTTAAATTAATAAAATTAAAATGAAAAGAAATTGTCTTTTTGGTATTTTTGTATTTTATGATTTTAATGAAAAAGAATTAATTAAGATAAAATGCTAACCCTAATTCTAATGGTTTTTTAGTTTATTAAGAAAAGATTAAATTTTAACCTAATATTTAACCTAATTATTTACATGCCATTTAATTATAAAAATAAATAATATTAAATATTTAATTATTATGAAAGAAAAGAAAAAAGGGATAAAAATGATTATAAACCCTAATTCTACCAATTTTAGATTTTATTAAGAAAAATATTATAATTGAACCTAATTTAATAACTAAAGTTAATTGATGCAATTTATTTACAAAAATACTAAAATAAAAATATTTATTATTTTTTATCTTTTCTGATTTTTTTTGGTGTTTTTTATATATTATGAAAATATTAAATTAAAGAAACTGATTAAAAAATAATAATATTTGAAAATAAGTAAAATAAAGAAAAGAAATAAAAATTCAAACCTAGGGGGGTGTCTGTCCCCAGTAGGAGGTTTTTCTTTAGCAACTTGGGCCCAGTGGCCTTTGGCCTGGTTGACTTTTCCATTAGCGTGTAGCCTCTTTGACTCAAGTCTATGACGCTCCTCCAATTATAGCCCTGGGATTGCTCTTGGCATACGCGTGGCAGGTTTGATTTTGTGGGTGCATGGTGGACACTACTACTGAAATTGCACATGAGTATTAATTGAAAAAATACATGGAAAGGGGTGGGGGACCTGGGACTCGAACCCAGGTCCTGAGGTTCACCAGCGTGTACGCCTGCCAACTGCTCCACTTCATCTTTTTGTATATTACATAACAAACAAATAACATAAGCGAATATGATAACTAATGGATTTCTGGCGCGAATTTTTGAACGAACCAATCAACGCTTGCCACTGCATCGTCTTCCTCATTGTTTTGTTTTCCTGAAAAAATAGCAAACAGTTAACGGGGGTTTTGAACCCCCTCAAAACAAGCTTGTTCTGAGAATAGCGATTAGGACATGTGGCCTCAGAAATTAGGCGCGAGGGTCCTAATCTGATCGTCCAAGCCTGCTGAACATGGTCATGGCACTGAGGTCCCCTAATTTTACTTTAACTGAGAAACCCCAATTCACAGTTCTGTAAACCCTAAAATACGACAATGGTAGATTCGCATAGAGGTGATAAAAACACAATTAAGCAATTGGGTTAGCTTCAGAATCAGTTAATTAATAAGAATTCATGAACAAAATGCAATGAATGTGCTTAAATTGTAAAACACGATTATGAGAGAAAAGTGAAAAAGTTTGACTTCTGTACAATGATTCAAGGCGTTAGAGACGTGGAAACTTATTCAAATACGTTGCTTAAGGTCTCAGGAAGGTGATGGGATGATTTTCTTGGCTTGAATCGACCTCTATCCCTGTTTTCAGTTTTGAAATTTTAGGCCAAAAGTGTGAGTTTGATCATGGAGTTTATGTGCAGCTGAGGGGTCAAAGGCATGAGGGTTTGCATCCTTATATGTGTATGAATGATTAGGTCAAAGAAAATTGATCCAAAATCCATGAATTGATGAATATGATATTTGATTTTTAAACCATGATTTTCAAATCTTTTTCATGCAAACTTCTACCAAATCATGACCAATTCAATTGATTCTTTCCATATTTGGTTAGGCACGAAATCTTGGAGATATTATGTGCACAAAAAGATTGAAAAACCTAGGTTTAGTATTTTCCATGTATTTTAATTAATTAAATGAATTATTAATAATAAAAATCCAAATAAATAAATAAAAAATGAAGAAAAACTTCCCTTTGGGCCAAATGGTCGTGCACATGCCTTGGATAATGAATTGTGGAAGAAAAAGAGGCCCATTAGCAATTTTAGGTCATTTGAATCAATGTTGACTTTTCAAAATATCCAAAAATTTCCCAACTTCCATAAGGCATAACTTGCTCAATTTTTAAGCTTTGCTCATTTTCTTGGACATTTTGGAAAGGTCTTTGAGTCCTCTAACCAATGTCTTTGGTCCCATGTCATTTTGATTTACCAATCTCAAGTTATGGCCTTTGACCAATCTCAAGTTATGGCCTTTGACTTAAAGTCCCTTTTTGTTGACTTTTGAAAATGACCTATAATGTTGAAATTGATAACTTTTTGTGAGAGCATTTCTTGGACTTTGAGTATGAAGAGGAGTTGTAGGAAATGTATTTCTCTTCAAAATGAGCTTTGGATGGAATTTTTCTAATAATCCATGTGAAAGTTATGCCCTGGTCAATTTACAGTTGACTTTTTCAACTGTCCAAATAAGGAAACTTTTGCATCTTGATGATTTTTGAGCCAAGTTTTGAGAATCATGATCAAGCATTGATCAAATGATGTTTATGGCTTCAAAATGAGATGTTGACCAAAAATTTGGACTTTTGACTGTCAAATGACCATTTTGCCCCTACAGTTGACTGTAGTGCAATTAGGGTTTTGAATGTGCAATTTTATGCTGAAAGTCTTGAAACTTTGTATGAGGATGCTTGACCATGTTTATAGGCATGTGGGGCTTGATTGGAACCTTGGAAACTTCATTTTCTTGATCAGAATAAAAACCCTAATTTTGACTGTTTAGGAGGCCCTTGAACTGTGCAACCTTTGGGGAATTTTGAAGCTTTGACTTGGCAAATTTTGAAGAATATGGGAGGGCAAATTTTGGGGTACAACACTATGAAAGGCGTCTTCTTTGTTAGGGTCAGAAGTTGTCTTCTCTCAAATTTTATTCTCCGTTAAGAGTCTATCATTCGAAGTCGATGGCTCATTTCCCCAGTAGTGTATAATCTTTGTCCCTGTGGGTTATTTGTGCTTGGTTTTTCCAGCATTATTTTGTCTCATGCAGTATCATTCTCCATAAAGTTCAAATACTACATTCATATCATAAACATAATGGTGGTATCTTAGGGCAAAAATTGTGTATTATGTATTTAAGTACCTTCAATCTCGTCGAGACAAAGATTTCAATCTTCATATCTTCGAATAGAAGAAAATTAAATAGGGGCAGCTGTCATAACCCAATTTTTGACCTAAGATCCCTGCTTCATTTGCATTGTTTTATATATACATCAAGGTCACAGAATATGGTAGGTTTCGAAGGTTTCACTTTCGAGCTTTGACTGTGTAGAGATTATCGAGTGTTGTGAGCATTTTATCTTATGAATGACTAACCACTAATCAAGAACGAAGTGTATGTTTTGTTTTTTTTATTCCATGTGCAAGAAATAGGTCTAAAAGAAGAGTATCAGACGTCACACATCAATTAGGGTTTCGAGTCTCGGGACAGAAATGCGGTCGGTCGTTGATTCTCAAAGGCTGATTCATCAAAAGAATTTTAGAGAATCGTGTGTTTATTCCCACACTCTATCCAACAGATGGTCTCCAGTGTCTCTGAAATTTTTCGGAAAGAACAGTCGAATTTCTACTATCATGGGTTCATGTGTGTTTCACATTACTTTAAAATACAAGAAAACTAAGCTATGCCAGTCATTTTCAATCATTTAGACCAAAACTCATCTGCAAGTTTTCTCAAGACGCGGAGTGAATTTCGTCAAAATGGAATGATTAAATTCAAAATTGTTCTAGAAGAATTTATTCGGGATACTTGGAATTTTCTTTATTTGAATTCAAGTGATAATTAAAGAGGAGCTACCAAGAGATCTCATTCAAGAATAATTATTTATCGCATGAAATATTTATTCAAGATTATTTTGTGTGATTATTTTGGTGGATTTACATTATGGTTATTTGAACACTCATGAAGCATTTACTAAGGAGATATTAGAAAAAGGAATTTCATTCAAGTAATCATTCATCACAAGATTAATTACATGAGGATTGCTATTTGATTACAAAATCAATTCATGTGATTTATTTGGATCTTTATTACAAAATGCAAGATTAAAGTCTAAGACTTGAATTATTATTTATTCATCATTCAATAATTTATTCAAGTATTATTCAATTATTTCCCAAATTCAAATGGAAGACTTGGAATTTTATCAAGACATATGAAGATTCAATTTCATATGAAGATTCAAAGTTATTTATAATTACAAGGGAATTGAGAATATATTGAAGAATACATATTCATTCATGTTACAATTTATTTGGATTATTATTACAAAGTTACAAAAGAAATTAAAGTTTGTACATGAAATCAAGCTATTATTTCTTGCTCCAATAACAGCCCCATTGCTTCTCATTTTTCCAGCACTTTTTTAATCCAATAACAGTCCAATTTTTTAGTATAATGCTGTCCATTTTCTCCAACCTTGTTTCAACAAAAACCATGCCAAGTTGCTGTCCTAATCTACTCTGCAAAATAGTCCAAAATGCATCCCATAAGACAAAAATTTGCACCTTTGCTGCTACAAAAACTAGTCTACAAAACTCCAAATATTGCACTAAAATGCATACTTCAAAAAGCTATCTCATGATTGTTTAAATTCATACAAAAGAATTTAAAGGAAATATTGGAGTAAAAGAACTTGGAAAATCAAAATGAATATGAAAGTTTATGGTTACAAAACAATTACATCATCTAATATTTCAAGTTACAATTCCTTCGAACTTTCATTCATTCAAGTTCCATCTTCATGCCATGATCTTCACTAAACATTGCTTCACCGTTGAACTAACCATGCTTCAAAACTATTTCTCCATCAAAAAAATGGTTGTTGCAGCCTTGCAAATAAAACCAAAAATAGTTCCAAACAAAACTAAAATGGCCCTGCATCAGTTATGGGTAGAAAAACAAGCCTCACGACATAAACCGATTCAAAATTTGCGCTTTGCAACTTCAAGCGATGTTCAAAACAAATACAGCCCTGCATATTGATTATTGCAGCCAATTAAATCGTGCCAAATTTTTTAACCGGAAATCAGAGAAAAAACAAGGAATGATAACATGAGTTCAAACAAATCATTGCATAGAAGATTCAGCACACAATGCACACAACTTCATACACTTAAAAGGTCATATCCAACAAGTAATACAACTAACTCTTAGTTCCTAACCATTTTAACTATACCTATCCTAACGTCACAATCATTCGTCAGCTCACCTAAATTGTGCCAATCAACTAGCCCTCACAGTTTTAATCTAACAGTCCTAACTAAAACTTCCATAGCAGAATTCAACAAACATCTCTAACAAAATTCCACAACCCTATAACTAATTGCCATAACTTCCATAACTAACACCTTCATTCTGTAACCAATTCTCAACCTCTTCTCCTATATAATCCGATCCATAACCTTCATTCAGGGAGATTCGACATTTTTCACACATAACCACATCTATTATCTCAACCATTCACATGATTCATTCACCAGAAAAACTCACAAAAAATCTGTAACAAACATCTAGCCATATAAATGAACTCACCTATTTCAATCAATTCATTCTTGGATTCACAGAAGAATCACCACCAAAATTCCCTACTCTCTCTCGGAAACCTCCATCTTCATCTTCTCTCTGCTTTCTCTCCATAACCAAACCTTCACAAGTCTATGCAAATTATGAAATCGTATCCCTGCTTCAAGCTTCAAGCAACAAGAAACGCAACATTGCTCCATCATTATCACCTCTCTTGCGTCAAGCTTCATCGCATAACATTGCAATAGTATCTCTGCATCTTCTTCATAGTTCACCATCAAAATCACTTCTCCTTCTTTCATCTTCAACAATCATCATTTTTGCAATGCTGCAATGGAATATGCTTCACTCTTATCGTCTCTGCTCAACATCTTAGCTTGATCTTCATCAACAACATCAATTCAAATAATATCGTTTGGGAGGAGTGTAGGCGACTCAGTTGAACGAATCAAAGTGGATATTCATGAACAACAGGACGCGTGCATTTTAATGGTGATGAGCAGAGCTGAGACGAGCGGCGTTTGAACACTATGTTGCGAATCATACCATGAGAGAAAGCAGAGATCGAGGGAGATGATGAGATGCCATGAAGTTTGGTGTTCATGGTGTTTATTTCACGGTGGTGTTAAGGAATAAGAAGAAGCGAAGGCGGTAAAGAGAAGAGGAGGGAATGAGTTTGTGTTTCGCGAAGAAGCTGAGGAGCTATAGCTGATTTAACCCTAATCCCTCTTTAGCACACGTTCACCATTTTTTATCTTTATCATATTAATTTCTTCATTTTCATTTTGATGCTTTCTAATAAATAAGTTAATAATAAGTTATAGGCTGAAGGTTGAAAATTGGATTGGCCAGGTTGAAATGGGTGGACCGGACCCCCATTATTGTGGCCTAAAGGACAATCTTTTTGGCAGCTTCAACATTTATAAACAAAAATGTTAATGGACTCCATTTTAGAATGGGCTTTTATTTTGCAGCGCCCTGAATTCAGTTGGCACCTCCTGAAGCTGCATTTTCCATACTTGTTTCAATCTCATTTTTATTTAATTTTGGTGATTGAATTTTTTGGTGGTATTGGTAAATAAAAGAGATTTTGTAGAGGAGTTTCAAGAAGTTACAAAGTGAATTAAAGGCTTAATCTTCATCAAAGGAATTCAAGACAACTTCTGTAGAGTTTTCTTATCGCTTGCATGGTTCTGAAGAGGCAATGAACCTTCTCTGTTAGGTACCATCGTGACTTCAATTTATTCCTCATTTCCTCACTTTATCGTATTTCTTTACCGCTTTTCTAGAAATCATGAGAAGTAGGACTTTACTGCTTTCCGATGCCATGAGAAGTAGGGTAGAGATGTATGATGGGGATCTTCGTTGTTGATCATGTCAGGAACCCCTCTAGTTTATTTAAAGACATGTTTAGGGCAATTCCATATTATGTGCATTATGTATGCTAATTGTGGTTGTTTAAAACCCTACCTTTGAAGTAGGTATTCCGCACATGTGTTTACATTTGTGCCTGCACTATTCCCTCATCCCTTATTGAAGTCCTCAAAAGGAGGCAAGCGAAAAGGGTTCGAAATTAACCCCTACAATTTCATTCGTGTAATCCTTAGCTCGTGACACACCATGATGCTTCAGGGTTGTGCCGACTCTTGTTATCGAGTCGTAAAGTGGAAAAGGGTTTTGCAATCAAACCCCCATATTTTGTCAGGAGTTCGTATTGGTCGGTGCGGACACTCCGTGATTGTTCATATTGCCTTCTGTCACCTTGGTTAGATGATCAATTGCTTTGGACATCACATTTTTGTTTTACATCCTATTCCCGCTTGTTTGCTTCGGGTGATTTTCTCCCCTTAGCCAAAGCATTTCTCTTCTTTTATATTTCACTCCCGCTTGTTTGTCTCAGGTGATACACTCGCCTTGAATAAAGCATTTATCTTATTTTCTTTACCATTCCATGAGTGTGCTCTTTCGAGCTTGCTTGTTTTTTATCCTTATACATACCATGCTCCCTTAAGATTACTCGTGTAGGTTAGTCCTCGAGCTAGACATTAGGATAGGTATCCATGCATGCTAACATTACGTAGACGTTTCCCTTTTATTAATCCAAACCTTAGGACTACCATTATTTGATAACATCAGGATTAGAAATAGGCTAGTCTCCCGTAGACTCTTTTCTTCCCCTTTTTGCATCCTTGCATTTAAAACTAAAACTTTCTTTTTCTTAGAAAATCTTAAAACATGCTAATCACACTTAAACTCTTTTTCAAGGTAACAAAACACAAACCAATCAAATATGGAATCTTGCCTTGAGGGTGTAACTCAAAACCATTTTCAAGTAAGGACATGTTAGTTTACTTATGTGCCAACGCGTGAGTCTCCAAAGGTCAAGCTGCGGCAGAAGGCGGAGTTAACATTGTTCATAAAAAACACAAACAAACAAAAACATGTGAGCCAAACTAAGTAACTTTGATTCCTCAAAAAGGATATGTAGGCATTGGGGTAGGGCCCAAGCGAGCACAACTTTATTTTCCCTACATTATTTTCTTCTTTCTTTTGCATTCATTCTTCCTCAATAGTAAGCAGTAAGCATAGATTAAACACACCCATAAGATAGATAACAAGAGTGGATACCATAGAGTACTACGAGTGTGTGGGGTGCTAATACATTTCCCTCGTGTAACAGACTCCATTACCCAATCTCTTGGTCGCAAGATCGTGACTTCTCCCTTATCAAATTTTCTCGATGTTTACTTTTCCCTTCATGTGGGGTAAAAGACGTTCGATGGAGACTTTATTGTCTGATGATTTTCAGCCGGTTGTTTCAGCTGGCGACTTCACTGGGGTCAGATCGACCAATTGCTGGTCCATCCCGGAGTCGCTCCTTACTCTTGTTGTCTTTTCTTTGGGTGTTTATTTATATGCTTCACAATTTATTCATCTATACCTGATTACCTGAGCATATGTATGCATTGCATTTTACTATTCTCCATATACTACTGATGTACTAGATTTGCTTCTTGTTGGGTGGGCATTACTATGAGTTAAAAGGCCCAATACCCAGGCTAGAGTTGTATACCACTAGGAACACTATGAATAGAGTGGAGAGTCATGATGGACGATAGTCGTATGCCCTGTCACCATCCGGTCATGAAGCCATGGTCAATTGAGGTTCAAGTGAGGTATTGCCAGCATCATAGATGTGCATGATGATAATAGTTTCAGGTGACTTATGATTATGATTATCCATGACCTTACCTTGACCAAGTTTACACCCATGAGTGGAGAGGGATAACCTTTACAGGTACCGGTTGGTGATTATATTCAAATGGTAACAATATGTTCTGTTGGTGACTATGGGGTTCTTAGATTTATTTTTGAGTTCCCGACTTGTTTATTTGGAGGTTCATTTGGGTCTTCAATCTTGGTATTCCCACCATGTTCAGAAAAATCTCAACAGTATCTGGTGTTCCAGAAGCCTTTATCCTGTACAATTGATGATCTACATGGTACTTAGTTCTTGTATGTGTGGAAGCTATGTCAGGCCTCTAATCTGGTGATATTCATATGGTTCAGAAATAGTGCATCGATCATATTCATAAGTGATGGAACTTCGATCCCATGTCTTTGCATACGTAACATGGTTAACCACATGCTTAACATACATGTTCTGTTATTTCCAGGGAGTCATATTTGTAAGTCTTGTGTTGATATTTTCCATCCCTTACCTGCGTAAAATCAAAATCAAAGCATGTAAATTCCTTGGAAATGACAGAACATGATGTGGTATTGAAGAAGTGAAAAACACAAGAAGGGGGGGTTGAATTGAAAACTTAAAAACAAATACGCAGTAGACACGATATTTTTATCCTGGTTCGTTTGATCTCAAACTACTCCAGTCCACCCGTCAAGGTGATTTCGCCTCTCTCCAATGAGGACTTAATCCACTAATCAAAAACTGATTACAATCACTATTTTGATAACTACCAAAGTCCTCTTGAGTACAACCACAACCCGGTTAATCTCAAGGAAAACTAGCTTAATCAAGATAAAAAGTATTTTGTGTATGGTTTTTTTCTTAACAAAAACAGTATCACAACTGTTTTATTTTACACAATTTTGAGCGTAAAAAGAATATGTAAGCTTGCAGCATTTTTGAGATGTATTGCAGCTGTGTTCAAAAATCGTAAACGATTTGTCCTCTTAGCTTGTTTATATAGGCATAAAAATCATGTCCAACATAAAGCGTGATAATGGACATTCAATGTTGTTTCCATATTGAGAAGATTCTTGTCTAAATGAAGCCGTTGCATGTGATGTTATCTTGATTGAATAGTAACGCTTCAGAATCTTAGAATCTTGGATGCTGCAATTGCTTCAGAACATTGATGACTCAGAGATGTGAGGATCTGATGGTGTATGAAACTTCTGTTCAGAATGAGAGTATTCTTCACGTCAGCGCAGATTCTGATCATCATTCTTCAGCGTAGATTCTGATTACCTCAACTTGAAAGCTTCTATAGCTTAACTTCTGATGCTGCTTTGGTCAGAATTTCTGCATTCAAAATAACACAAATTTAGAGTGCATATTTTTTCTTTGTGTTTGTTATCATCAAAACTCTAATTAAGGGTTGTAGAACCAAAGTATGTTCTAACAGTATCCATTCATGCATCTCATGCACATTCGTGCATCCATAACAGGTACTCGAAGATTGGGGATTCTTATTCAGACATGGTGCTCTCTTCAAAGGTTCAGACTTAATTTCTTACTACTCGTATTTAGAATTCAGTTATGGGATAACTCCGTGGGGAATGACCGATATGAAAATCTCGAGGGGGTTGGTTGTGCTTTACATGAAAGCTCTGGCCCGTGGTCGGAAATTCTTCAAGAAGGAAGATAGTCAAATGAAGACTCAGTTGGGCCAGGTTATGGAAGTTCTGATTACAGTGTCAATAAAAGGAAATCTTACACCTACTGTTGCAGCAGAAGTTCTCTCTTCTCCTCATCTTTTGGGGATCAATTTCAACCATGGAATGCTACATAATCTTGAGTTCTTGGGACATCTTATCAGCATATGGTTCCGATTCACTATATGAATTCAAGAAACTTGTTTTACTGGTGAGATTAGAATATGTATGAAGAAGAGTTAATCTTATATCAGTGCTTTAGTCTCATTGGTTTCCACACTTGTTTGATATTTAGTGGGTTAGACCCCGTACTTAGGTACCGTCTATAAATTCCCTTCCAGATCATGATACCATCTCCTGATGTGGTTACCACACCAGGGCATCCGACTATTCAATCAGG